GCTACCACGTGTTCACACTAAACAATTGGCTAGGCTTTCTTTTTATACGTATTGTACCGACTCTTAAGGAATTTATTACATGGGATGATGGGAGGGTAGCTTCTTTTTTAAAAACAATATAGATGCAGACGTTCATATATACATATATATTTTTAAACACAGTACAGATGCAGACGCTCATATATACACAGATATACTCACTATGGTGGCCTTTTTAACATTTTTACTCTCTTAAGGAATTTGCATAGGATGATGGAAGGGCTCCTTCTCTTTTAAACACAGTACAGACGCAGACGCTCATACATACGCACGTACACTCACTGTGATTTACCCGGCAGGCAGCTTCTTCGTGTGTTTTGTCCAGCGGTTTTTCTAGAGCCAGCCAACCGAACCAAACAAAAGATGCATGTCCACTGACCACTTTGGTTTATCTCTCGACAGTCCTCCTACCATCTCGAAACATTTTCTTTGACTTCCCAGCCTCCTCCACACCGCCGCAGTCCACACACACACACACCAATTCGCCGTGGACCACACGTCAGTGTCGCGCATTACCCCGGAGCACTGCTAGCATATACATATCCTTCACGAGCTTTGCTACACTTACGGGCCGCTTTTACGGATTGCAATCTACAGGGTTACGTGCAGGAAGCAAATTGGAAACCAGCCAGGCCCCACCACTAAAATCAAGGGGGAGAGGAGAGGTTACAGGTGGGGTCACCTCATCCGTAGAGGGTAGCTCGTATCGATCTGTCCGTAAGTTTAGAATTTCCGATCCTTCACCACCTCCTTAGCCACCCGATCCGCGCCCAGTGACTTGGGTCCAGATCGAGCAGTGGATGGTGTCACCAATCAACGGCCGCCGATGCCGATCTCACCCGGCGTGACCCCGGTATACTCGGCGGCGGCGGCCTCGCCGCTCGGCCTTCCTATGGTCTGGGTCAGATAAGACAACCGGGGCAAAATGCAAGGTCAATTGGGACATTGTCAGTCGGCCGCTTGCTTATGGTGGGCTTGGGGTCCTTAACACCAATAAGTTCGCGCGGGCTTTGAGACTGTGGTGGCCTTGGTATGAATGGAAGGAGCCAACAAAATTGTGGGTTGGGAGAGGTAACCCGTGTGATGAGGAAGATCTCAACTTCTTCTATGCTAGCACCATAATCAAGGTCGGGAATGGGGCGAAGACACCCTTCTGGGAATCCCCTTGGCTTCTTGGGCGCAAGCCCAAGGACATTGCTCCTCTCATCTATGAGTCTTCATCGCGGAAACATTGGAAGGTACGGGAGGTCATCAAGGAAAACGAGTGGATCCTCAAAATCAGGCCACCTGCGGTTGTTTCCACCCAACATGTAACACAATTCTTCACCCTTTGGATGCTTCTGCATGAGGTGCATCTTGATGAGCTTGCTGAGAACGACATAGTATGGAAACACTCGGACTCCGGGCATTACTCTGCGACCTCTGCTTACAGGGCACAATTTTTGGGTTTGGTCCTCTCTCCCATGGACCAAATGGTTTGGAAGCCTTGGGCCCCACCGAAGGTCAAGTTCTTTGCTTGGCTCGCGCTGCAAGATAGAATTTGGACCGCCAACAGACTGGCTAAGCGGGGTTGGCCAAATTGTGGCCCTTGCCCCTTGTGCAGGGGAGTGCAAGAATGTGGAACACATCTATTCTTCAGATGCCACTTCACGTTGAGGCTTTGGAATTAGGTTATTCAGAAATTTCTCATACACGACATGGACACGTCGGCATGGAGCTCCTTCGACTCAGTCAAGACATGGTGGGCGAGCACGAGCGCCATGGGCACCACCATCCGAAAAGCGAAGGCCTTGATCACCATGCTTGTGTCGTGGATCATTTGGAACGAGAGAAACGCAAGTGTTCCGGCATAAGAGCACCCATCCGCCAATTCTACTCAACACCATCGTCGACGAGGCAAACCTTTGGATCACCGATGGGGCAAAGAAGTTAGGGTCTTTTTTATTGCGAGAATAATTGTCATGTCGTATTCTGGGTGTGTGTTGTAACAAACTCTTCTCTCCTTATTTAATATATGAGGCAAATCTTTTGCCTCCGTTTCAAAAAAAAATAGTACCTACACACTTGGGACAAGTTCATTTGTGTCATCTCATAGTACCAACAACCAACGGTTGCAAATCTGTTAGTAGCTTCGGAAGGATCCTACAAAGATAATGTACAGTATGTTGAGTTATTTCTTTTGGAATGCAGTCTGAAAGATGTGAGTTCATTATGACCAAACTGGCTCCAAATTTGCTTCCAGAAGATAGCAGTCACCGTGCCATTGTATGCATTCAGTTTAACAATAAATGATGTATATGGAAACTGAATAGTTATGGAACAGGTAAAAAAATAGATCAAGTTTGGTGCACCAGATTGTTAAATGTTTAGTATGGTATGTGGTAAAGGTTTACCCTTTGCCCTTAAAATCAGAAAAATTATTCACACCTTATTTCACTTGGTGTTTGCACCAAAATTGAATGCCTGCCACCATCGTCACGACAAAGGAGGAGTTAGTCCCCACGACATCCCCATCCAGGCTCTTTCTAAGCTTCAACTTAGTCTAACCATAACTTAACTTTGGTTTTCTTTATGTACATCAAATTACCATGTTTGGAAAAATTAAGATAAGATGTAACCAAGAACTAATTTAAATAAAGATTGCATCATGTTCATATTAAGTAAAGAAGTAAAGGACTTATCTCAACCAAGTTTCTGAATCTGATGGTATGGTGTGGTCCTTTTTAAGATAGGGAGGGATAGGTAGAAAGGAAGATATGGGTTTGGAAGGGTTGTGAACTTCAGTTTAGGTTGGTTCATCCTTTCAGGTACCCATGTACAGTTGCCCTTGTATATTTATGAAAAGAAAATCTCGCTGTTACCCTTAGTTTTTGTTTCTTTGGATTTGCACATAAATCCTATGTACTATGGTTTATTTTTAAGCACCCTATTTGTGTACATTCAACTTACTATATTAGGGATCTTCTAATCCCTCTATGTGACATTCTCTGCTCTAGAAATCTTTTTGGATTAATGTACTATATTTGGACGAGTCAAGAGAAAGAGAAAACCGAAAAGTCATGATATCTTTGGGAAACAATATGTTGAGTACCCACAGTATTACATAGTTCCATTATGTGTTTTATCCTGACAGTAGTTTCAGGTAGCCCTGGCCATGGGCAGCCCGGCCCAAAAAAGCCCGACTTGGCCTAGCCCGACGCTGCTTTCGGACTGGGCCCGTCGTCTTCGCGATTTCCTGAAGGGGCCCGGCCCGAGGCCCGGTGGGCTTTTACGTGTGCAAGCTGAGCTTGGGCCCAAAAATCATGCCCGATGGCCGGGCCCGGGCCTGAGTTTTTCGCGTCGGGCTTGGCTAGGCCCGGCTTGAGGTATGGCCAAGTATAGTTTCAGGCATAGGTCACACGGAATACTATTTGTAATGAAGGGCAAGATTGCCTTATAGCGCTCAATGTTCCCTATTCTTATTCCATGCACCGTTGTTACTTTAGGGTCAAGTTTGCTGTGATTTGTGTCTGTCCATTAAGAGAAAGCAACTGTTTGATAGAAATTCAGAGGAAAACGAAATTTAGGTGTTTTATATGGTTCATGCTGATTGTCCAATTCTTTCTATTTTCATTTTCAAATGACAAAGTGCATTTTGTTTTGCAGCTTGCTGATAATTCTTACCAGACAAGTTGGATTCTCAGAAGATTACCATTAATATTTTGTCTCTATAAATCGAACCCTGGAGTATATTCAAAGTCCAAAAGGTATTGAGCAATTACAGTTGCAATTGCAACATCGTGCCTGCTGCAAGTCCTATTTCAATTTTTGATTATCCAGGAGCTTGCTCACGTGTTCGCTAAGAAGCTCTGACTGTTGTAGCTAGCATTTCTATAATACACGTAATTAGATAAGAATATGAATGATTGTCCTTGCGATTCCCATGAGGGGCTATTCTATACGTACAAATAATCCATTTGCTTCCACTGATATTCCACATTAACATATATGCAGAGAAATATAAAAAGTTGGTGTTAAATGCTACCCCCTCCGTCCGGAAATACTTGTCGAAGAAATGCATAAAAATGGATGTATCTAGAACTAAAATACATCTGGATACATCCATTCCTCCGACGAGTATTTCCGGACGGAGGGAGTAGTTAAATGCTCGGTCCCATATATTATGCTTATTTTAGAAGAGAAAAAACAATAATGGTGATTAGTTTGAATAGCTTTAATTAATACCCTTAATTTTAGTTGGATGTACCATGCAAAATTATAAATTACTTCAATTGAATGTACTTTGTTTTCTTGATGTAAGATAAGAATAGCGTCTGCAACCAGCTCGACCTCTGTACCACCACCATGCCTTCTCTTCAAAATAAGAACAACACACACGTACGCACGGGTTCAACCACACGCCGCGCCTTCTGCATGCTAGTATCTCCTATACAGACAGTGTTTGCTTGATAATCTGAAACCACGCCTGAACATGTACGGCGTACAGGCAGTGTTTGGCTTGTCATTGGCCTGAGTTGCATTCAATAGTGGTGACTCTGCGGTGCTAGGTTTGTCTCCACCCATTCAAGTTGTTTTGTTCACCTTTTGTTAGCACATGCACATGGCAATTTATGAGCTCTTTGGTCGATGTTTTATGTGAAAGAAGCAAAGCGAAATCCATGACAGGCAATGGAAATGAATCTGGTCTCTTTCCATATAAGTGGAACTGTAGCACAGTACTCCTAACAACCTGCAACTTAGCTATTTTACGATGTACAGAAGTACTCCCTCCGTTCCGAATTACTTGTCGCACGTATGGATGTATCTAGATGTATTTTAGTTCTAGATACATCCATTTCAGCGACGAGTAATTTGGAACGGAGGGAGTACATCTTTAGATCGTGGACGGACTGACAGTTCCACCGATTCCTCTCCGGTCCTCAGCGTCCAGCACCCTCGCTTGAAGGAGTCGCAGGGGGAGATCAAGATGGGCAACGACGCCGGCGGCTCGCTAGAACAGAACCAGCCGGTGTGCGTGACAGGAGCAACCGTCTACGTCGGCTTGTGGCTCGTCCGCACACTGCTCCGACGAGGTCACCGTATCCACGGCGCGGCGAGGGACCCTAGTATAGAGATGTGCCACCTATTAGTTCTTCGCAGATTGATGATGAAAATCAATAAATGGTGGAAATGTGCAACACCTGATTACGACAAAATAAGAGAAAGCAATTTTGAGTTCTAATGACCATGTATCAGAAACCATAAGCAGGACAGCATACAAACTACAAACATTTTTTTTTGTTTGAGAAAAGATAGAAGAGTCCAACAAGCAACAACTATAAGAAAACTCTTGCCTTTCGATAAATTAAAAAGAAAAATGGGACCAGTAATATAGGTATGATGTCGAGATTATTAAGGTTGTTAAACAGTGGCTGGGCGCCATCTAGACGGTCACCTACCGCCAGTCCAGCGCATCTCTAAACCTTAATCAACATCAATAATATCATTGTGAATTTCATATTACGACTGGAGAAAGAAAATCGGGTGGAAAATACGGAGGTCTATGAACCAAGAAGAGTTCAAGACAAACCCCTAATCCAATCTACCACATTGTTTGCTCACTGTTATAGCTTGCAGCACTACACAAACAACAGGGGCGCAAGAAACATTTGGCAAATTAGTCTATACTGTTAACTATAAATGTTCTGAACTTTCTTACGAACATTTACATTTTACTGGACTATACAAGCCACAAAATAAGTATCGAGCATGCAACTTTCTTCCAAATTTAGAAAATTCTGTTGTGTGATATTAATTTCAGTTTACCAAACAAACCTCAATTGCATGCACACAGAATAAGTATGCACACCTGAATTGCATGCAACTTTCTTCCAAATTTTGAAAATTCTGTTGTGTGATATTAATTTCAGTTTACCAAACAATCCTGAATTGTATGCATACTTGAGTGAATTCAAAACTGAAAAAAAGTATCACTCAAAAAGCTTCATAAGCAAAGTCAGATAAAACAACAACCGAACGGAGTCATCAACCGATAGCATTCAAATAAAACAGTAAGTAGCTATAATCTAGCTCGATATAGCCTTCATAAAGCAATAATCACCTGATCAGCTGACCTAGTGGGGGATACAGTTGTACCAGCAACCAAACCAGAACCTGAAAGGATATCTTTAAGTGTGCCGCTAATTCCATGGAGGAGGGGTGTTTTAGCTGCCAATGCAGACCCACTTGCACATATTGACAGAACACAAATTACTCCCTTCAAGGATATATGATCCAGAGTTAGCAAATATGCGTAAATAATACAGTAGCAACAAAAAGTGAAATGGAAGCATATTAAGCTTGCAGCTTGTGCAACCTATCCATATTGCACAATTGATCCAGTTTCTTCGGAGATGAAGCAAACGCTTCTGCTATACGAGTCAGGCAAATGGAAGCATGTTCTAGCACCTGAAATCGGTCGATGCAGAACATCAGCATCTAAGAATAGATGGTATCATGGCATAATCAGGGTATCCAAATACAAACAACAAGCATATACTTTTGCATCATGGTAGTTCAGAAGATTTGCATCATAATCAGGGTATCCAAATACAAACAACAAGCCTATGGAAGTACAACATGGATGATGTTGGCATGGTACGAATTACTGACCACACATAGTGTCGTGACTGAACATGAGGGTGCCTTGCAGGAGAAAGGATTTGAATTTGCCCTTGTATGCCCCATTCAACAAACGGTGCAGCCTCCTTGGTACTATATCCACTTGTCCATGTCACTGTGAGCTAGCATCAAGTCATTTAATATCAAATCAAGATCCTGAGAATATGGTACGGTATAATTCACAGAAACGCTAGGCACATATTTCTTCAAGAAATTTTGATGACAGAAAACAGTTCTGAACATAAAACCTGCAACTACTACCCTTAATGAGAACTATCTGAAAGACATTAAATTCATGTTTCCGTCGCTCTGAAATTCCAGCTCCTTTGTGTTGGCCAGCCAATAGCTTTTGTTATAGAAATGGCCAAAGGAATAAGCTAGATTTCTCATTTATTTGTATTTGTGTTTCTTTTCCTCCATAGGTGACAATTTACAGTGTTAAGTTTATACCCATTCATTAATGAAATATTTAAGGAAACGATACTTGCTTCATCCCAGGATTTTCCTTGTGCCGGGTGTGGATACGCAGGAGCCTTCGGGTTTGTGAAAGTTATGCTTATTTGAATGTGTGATAAACTTTGGTTGTTATATTGTATATAAAAGATGCAAATAGCCATGTTAGAGCACTGATAAAAGATGAGAAGGCTAAAATAAATATTACTCCCATACTCTCAGTTGAAACGGCATTAACTGTCATGGTGTCAGAAAAACAACATTGACTATCAATCTACCATGCACAAATTCAGAGTGATTAATGTTCAACTCTTTCCCCTAAAAAATATGAAAGCTGTTCAATTTCAACTTTCAACACCCTGTAGTTCAGTGTAGTGAGTTGATCTCTTATATGAATAAATAACGAGCATTTGTACATACATTTGAGAGGCCTCCAGAAAATAGTGCGAATGATATCACTCGTCTGATTAATTATCTGAAGCCTCAAGGACCCTTTTCCGGTCTTTGCATAGTCAGCTGTCGTGTAGTTTGCATATTGGAACTGCCAAAAATGATACCTCATTATTCAGCATATGTTAAAATGTTCTGAGCTCATATGGAGGAAGGCTCGCGGAAAATAACACCGACCTTAATAGGAGTCGTGCATAAAAGAGGGGCCTCAACCCACTGGTTCTCTGATGGGCAAATGGAGTCACTGACAAATAAAAAAAAAAGTAAATCAGAATAAGCTTCTGAATCATCATCTTTCTCTTACCAAGAGAAATATTTAAGATGTGCATCTTTACTGAAATCAGCAGGGGATAAGACCCAAATATAGTCTATCCTTGGATGGCTTGGGGTTGTAAATCCGATGGTCACCCACTCTTGATCCTGCCCCTATAACAGATATGGCCTTTTACTGTGTCGAGGTGAAAATCGTGTTGTCCAAGGGAGAGAGAAACGGATGCCCACCCCAGCCACCATTCCACAACCCTATCTTGCCGATCCCTCTCCCTCTCCCTCGTCTTCCGCCGCCACCATTCAATGCCGGCCTCCCCCACAGCCGCCGCCGCCACCCACGTCCTCCCCCACAACTGGCGCACCCACCCCTTCTCTTCTCTCCTCACCTTCTCCCCACCACCGGCGACCTCCTCCCCTGTCCCTCGGGCATCCAACACGAACCTAGCATTACCCAGACAGGGGGATGGGGAATGGGGACGCACCTTGCCGATTTCCATGGCATCCCGAGAAGAAGTTTCTCCTCGAGCACCTCGCTCCGTCGTGAATCCGTGGAGAAGCGGGGATCCTCAATGAGCTCCTCTCCCGACGGCATGACGAGGATCTACGACGGCGTCCTGGTCAACGCCGTCACCTCGCCGCCAACTCGTGCATGTCGCGCCCGCCCAGACCGCGCACCACCGCGCACCGGTTCTCCAGATTGCGCCCGGTCGCCGCGCCGACTTGGCTCTGCTCTGCCCGTGACGGCTGTCGTGTCCGCTCTCGTGATGCGCCGATCTGGTCCGCTGCCATCGGCCACTGCAGCTCCTCCATTGCGGGTCGCTTCTACCACGAGCACGTAGGCTACCGCTGCTCCTCCGGCGCCCGCATCGAGTCGCTGCTGCTCTCCTCGAGGCTCGAGCGGTTGCCTGTGTGTGCCCGTGCAAGCGAGGGAGAGAGGGAGGAGATGTGAGTGGGGAGGAAAAGTCGTTTCGTGCGGGGTGGGCAGCTACGTCTCCCATCGTCCACCAATCAGCCATTCAGCCTGTCCCTGCGCTCGCTCTCCAATCAACGACCAAAGTAAAATCGACGTGGCTAGCGCGAGCGGACGCTGCTTTACCCAAAAAGAGTTTGCCCGCTTTGTATAAAAAAACCAACCAAGACATCCAATGATAGGGGTTGGGCGAAAGCAGCACAGTCACGTTCAAAAGAAAAGAAAGAGAAAATGCAAGAGAAACAAACGCCGACAACGGCGGATCGACAAAGAAACGAAGAAGCCTCGTGACCGCTGCACCCACCGAAGATCGCCCACCAAGCTCCGAGCCTCCGAAGCACCGATACCAATCAACACATCCAAGAAGGGACGCGACGAAGACGATACTGCTGCCAAGGGTTTCCCCCGGTACACGGTGAGGAGAGAGGAAGGGTAGCCCCGACGCCCTCCAGGAAGGTCTGGCGGCACCCACAAGCGCCACCGCGTCGTTGTCGGCCAAGCCAACAGAGATTTCTCCCGATCCCCACCTCCAACTCAGGCAATCCAGAGCTCACCACCAAACAGACCCTCACCCTACGCTAACCCGGACACGATGCTTCCAACGCTGTCTCACCACGGCACCGTGAAGCATGGTCTGCACAATGAAGAAGAGGAGCCGGGACTAGGGCAGCAGGGCCCCACCTCCACCGCCGAAGACAGTAGCTAGCCGGACGCAATGGCAGGAACACACCAGGCACGTGGCCGCACAGGCCCGCCCGGGATCTCCGAGGCCCGTAAAGTTCCCGCCTTCGCGCTGCAGCCGGCACGTCGTCGGCTCCGCCGCCCCTGTCCAAGCCGCTCCCCTTCCTCCCTGCACAGAAAGCCGCCAAGTGGAGGCACCACCACCACGCGCACCGCCGGCCACCACCACCAAGTCGTCGGACCGCCACCGGCCGAGCCGCACCACCGTCGCACGCCCACGACGGAGAGGAACCACCGCAGCCACCAACGGCCCGAAGCCGGACCCCAGCCGCCGCCCGCGGCCCGCGCTGCCTGCCGGGCGGATCCGGCCGCCTCGGCGAGGCGTGCACCACCGCGCAGCCGGCCACACAGCACCACG